GGGGGATGGACCGTGGGACATGATGAAAGAATTTGATGATAACATACCTGCAAGGGATTTCGATAACTTTCAGGTGATTGCCTTAGTATCCCAGTTGTCTTTCCTATTCATGAAAGATTTTGGAATTCTTGAGAACTTTTCAGTACCATGTTTTTAATATTTTTCTGTTATCTCTCAGTTTGTGAATTTCACTGAAATAATGGCAAAGAATACCCATCAAACTCGAAAGGAAACAGAATTTGCTCTATCAGCACTGATGGAGATTCCTTCTCAGTATAAAGCAACAATGGCGCTTAATCTATTGGGGTAACTACTCTCAATTTCTAATTATGGGCACTACTGACGGCCCTTTTTTTTTTTTTTTTTTTTTTTTTTTTTTTTTTTTTTTTTTGAGGAAACACTACTAAAAGTATGACACTGTGTGATTGATTGATATTTTTTAATATTAATGCAGTAGGCGTAGAGGAGCATCTCCAGAAAGAGTCCCTCTGCCTCCACCTTTGCAGAATGCACGATCATTTGGCAATGCATCATCTTTCAACTATCAAAAACCTTCTCCTTCAACAAGCTTTGAATCAAGTGCACCTGCCTATTATGACACCCCTAGACATGTTGGTACAGCTCCAACTGCGCCTACTTCTACCTACGATACAAGCCCACCTGCTGCGAGCTCTGCATATGACAATCTGGTATTTACTGTTTGAATATTGCCTGCTTATACTTATTCAGTACTTATTATTAGATATGCATGACCTTATCAGTATCTTTCTTTCCGTAATTCATGACAAATTTAACGTCAATCTTAATAATACTACTCCATTATCTACCTCTTTCCTTGGTGAAATTTTTGTCCTGTCTAAGCTGTATCAACTGTCTAGTATGATTTTTTAGCATCTCATCTCTATTGGTATATGTATGGTATTCTATTTTTATTTTTTTTGTTAAACTCATTTCCTTGCCTTTCTTTTCTATTGCACAACTATCATTATTGTTGACAAATCTTGCTTAGGTCGATAGCCTGCCTTTATTTTTGAATACTAACTAATCTGAGGTATCAGAATTGGGTGGCTATTTGATTACTTAATCAGTTCTGCTGTCTTAAGAATTACTTTCGTGTTTGATTAATCAATGGGCTAACCATTGTTTTCTGATGCTCTTGAACAGTTGTGCCCTATTTGCTTTACTAATAACAAGGACATGGCTTTTGGCTGTGGACACCAGGTAGATTTTAAACATGAACTTTTATACTTCGTTAATGATTTCCCTTCCCAGGTGTGATTGTGATTGTGAATGTGAATGTGAATGTGATTGATTTTATACATGTTATTGGCAGACATGCGCTGAATGTGGGCAAGATCTTTTGAATTGTCCGATCTGTCGCAGCTCAATACAAACGAGGATCAAGCTTTACTGATGTCTTCATTGTGTGAATATTGTGGTCAATTGTTCATTATTGGTTAAAATTCTTTCATTTCTTTGATTTACTTGATTCAAATTTATGATAATCTTGTATGGTTTCTGATTTGGGTGAATTCAGCTTGGGTGCTGTAAATTCCTTGTCACTGTAAATAAAGTCCTAGTGAATAAGTATCATGATCTTTAAAGTTTTTCTTTAAAACTGGTCATTGACGGTTTAATCTCCTTAGTCCTATACATTGTAATGTGAGCTTAGAACTGTTAGAAGGAATGGTTTTTTGTTTTATTAATCTACTTGAATACATTTTTTTTTTGTTTTTTAATCAGAAAGATGCATGGGCGTAAAGGTCTCCTATTTCAAAGAGGTTGTTATATATACTCGGGTAGGGCTACACACGGTTTGGTTTGGTGCGGTTTGAGGGTGAAACCGCAGCAAACCGCATTCGTAACCAAACCGCACCAAACTGCAATTGTGCGGTTTGTGTTTTAACTGCAATTTTGAAAGAAAAAAAAACACCCCCTCAAATTTATTAAACTGAACAGCAACATACAGCAATCAACAATATGTCTTTCATCTAACATATAATTAAGCATTCATATAACAAATTAGTTGAGAATCTAACATATAATTGAAAATTTGTACAGCAATTAAACTACAAACCATCAAACATGCAATTAAGCATACCCACTAAATTATTCCGTTAAAACCCCCAAATCCTATACTTCTTCGTAAAATTTTACTTTTTCCCAAAATAAAACAAGAAAAATTAAGCAGTAAGCTAAGCATACGACATTCCCTAAAAAAAATAGCAAAAAAAAAAAAAAAAAAAAAAATACCAATTAGAAATAGGAGAAAGTGGATCATGCTATGTTTTCTTATTTTGTAACTTCAAACCTTCAGTAGTAGTCTAGTAGTGCCACGTGGAATAGAGTTATATCATATCATATCATATAACTAATATATAAAGCTAAACTTTTAGCCAGGTCACGAGACAACGACACTTGACATTCTAATTTTTCGCCAATTGTCGCGCCACGTTGGATAGATTTAAATACACTTCATAAGATAAAAAAGTTAGTTTAAAATTCTATTTTGAATCAAATTTGGATAGAATTTTAGGATAAAATTGTTAATTTAAAGTTTTATTTTCAATAAAATAAAATTTGAGTGTCGCGCCACGTTGGATAGATTTAAATCGACTTCATAAACAACTCGGGCATCGCACGGGGCACAAAACTAGAAACTAATATATAAAGCTAAACTTTTAGCCAGGCGACGAGGCAGCGACACTTGGCGTTCTAACTTTTCGCCAAGTGTTGTGCCACGTGGAATAGAGTTATATAGAATTCAATTTGTAGGATTAAAAAAGTTAGTCTATAATTTTATTTTCAATCAAACTTGGATAGAATTAGAATAAGGGTTCGTTTGACATTGATGTGGTTTTCTGTTTTTTGGTTTTTTGTTTTCTAAAAGTATATGATATGTGTCCCATAATGAATCAAAAATTATATAAACTTATTAAAATTATTGTAATTTTGAAAACTGACAACAGAAAAGTAGAAACACCTTTTTCTTGTTTCCTGTTTTTGGTTTTTGGTTTTAAAAAAAACAGAAAACTGAAAACCAAAATCGATGCCAAACTAGCCCTAAAATTGTTAATTTAGAGTTTTATTTTTGACAAAGTACCTATATTTCATATGTGCAAATTGAATTATAATTTATTCAAAAAATAATTAGATTATAACTCTCATAAATTATCATACTTCGTATAAATTTAATTTTTGTATCATAATATTTTTCTGGAGTGAAGGAATTAGTTCAAAATGTACTACATCCATTGTTTATAATATATTCTAATCAAGTAAAATAATATACTTCACAATATATCTTATAAAATTCAAAATAAACAAATCGGGCATCGCATGGGCACAAAACTAGTAAACTAATAAACCTAGTTTATTATTTTAACTTTTATTAAAGTAAAAAGATTTTTATTTTTATAAATTACGTCAACTATATAATTCGTATATTATTGTATTTTATATAAATGTGGTTTGCAGTTTAAACCATAAACCGTGTAATTGCGGTTTGCGGTTTGGTTTGGTTTTGTATTTTTGAAAAACCCAAACCAAACTGCAATAATACGGTTTGGCAAAATAAAAAACCAAACCGCAAATTTCAAACTGCAAACCAGATCAAACCGCAAAAATGCGGTTTGGTTTGCGGTTTGGTCTGGTTTAAACCGCACTCTATACAACCCTATACTCGGGTATATCGTACATTCATTAGTATTTGTTTTCATTATGATGATAATTTTTCATTTTATCATCAAATGAAGAGCAAAAACTAACCTTAGGTTAGTTGGAAGTACGGTACCCCTGGGTGTATATAACAAATTCTCCATTTTTTTAATAGCAAAAATATTTCATTAATTAAAAGTCATATGATATCTACAATAGAGATTTGACATTAACAAATACATAATATATTGAATCAAATAAAAATTTCCTTCAACCAACGATTGTCGTATAGATCTTGCATTGTGGAACATCTCCTGCTTATATCGCTGGAATACACAACTTTGTTGGAGAGACAATCTAACGATCCTTTGTAGTCGTGAGAATGTTTTTCTTATGATTCATCTGTATGCATTCGAAAACTTGATAACTTTTTTACCAACGAATTAATTTTGCGACAATCCATTATATCTAATATCATGGATTCAAAACTAAGAATTTTTTCTCTTGCCTTTCAAAGAAGGTCGAAAAACCCTTGTCTTCTTATCTTTCGAAGGAAATCGGGATCCCTTTCTTTTGAGGGAGAAAAGTTCCTTCCAAAAGAAGGAAGCATTAAAAAAACTTTAAAGAAACAAGGATTAGGGCTTTCCACCGGTTAAAACCAATGGAAGCCTCTTCAAAATTCAATAATGGAGGCTAGGGTTTTGGAGAGAGGAAGGAGGAGTATGATAGAGGAAATTAACAAATTCTACCTATTTCAGGGATAAAACACTTTAAAAAATATAAGGGTTCTCATTTCTCAAGGAAAGATAAAGAAAATTATAGAAATTAAACATTGCCTTTTGGTTTTTTAGTTGATACTTTTTATCACTTGTCAACGCAGAATTTAACGATTAATAAATCTAATTATCAGTATTACCAACTTATAAAAAACGGATATTAATGAAATTTACATTAAGGCAATTCAAACAAGATATCACAAGACTATGTTTTGTCATAGCTTTTAAAGAATAATTTGTGACTAGTGCAAAACCAAAAGCGTGTCAGCTAAAAAAATGGCTAAAGTAAAAAATAAATATAATAAAATTTATAATATAATTAAACCTTATAGGGACTATATTATATGTGCCACTCTTGTACTCTTGTGTCATGATAATGGTATCACGAGCGTTTACTATCCGCTCTCACGAGCGTTTTTCTATGAGGTACTAGCTGGTATCCTACCTTGTGTACATAGTTTGAAGTATTTTTCTTTCCTTTCTTTGATTGTTGGTTGTCCTTATCTTGTTTTGTGTCTTTTGGGGTTTCTTTGCTTGGGGTTGTAAGTTTAGAACTTTAGAGTGATTATGGATCCTATGGGTCTTCAAGCTGTGTTAATTGGTTTTCATCTAGATGATGATGGGGTTGGAGAGGAGTTATCTGGTATTTTGAACTTTATGATGCAATTTGGGGAACCCGACGATCTTTTGCAAATGTGTGTTAATATGAAAGAAGAGGGTAACCTTTTGTTTAAGAAAAATCTGTATGATGAAGCCTTGTCTATGTATGATAAAGCTACGAAACTCTTGTGTTTTGCTTTAATTGAAAATGAAGAGCAGAATTCTAGATTCTTTGATCTTGCCATTAGTCTCAACCTCAATCTTGCTCTGTGTGCTTTCAAGCTTAATTTATTTGCTCAAGGAAGGGAGTTATGCTCAATTGTGTTGAATTTTTATCCTGCAAATGTGAAAGCTTTATATAGAAGAGCATTGTGATCAAAGGGCATGAATAATCTAGAGGAGGCAAAGAAAGATCTAACTCATGCTGCCGAATATGAGCCTCAAAATGTTGATTTGTGCGTGAATTGAACTCTATAGCCAAAGCGATAGACTTGCAACCAAAAGGGAAGAATAACTCTAGACTACCACAAATCCTAGAGGATAGGAAAGGAAAACGGGTAAAGTCTTCCGTGGAGTTGGTTTCTTCGTCTAATCATGGCTCGGTAGCTGAAGATTTCAACGCTCCAATAGGTCTTGAAGCTGTTCTACCTTCCCCCATGAAGTTTAATTAAAGGGTTTTCCAAGTCGAGAACATATCAAACATGGACAATGAAAGAGATCACTGCGACATTAGAAGTGGGTCTAAGAGTTGTATTTCGGAGGATATGGATATGACTTCCCATGTTCACGAGGAGGATGTGACAAGTGTCCGTTTTTGTAACAAGATTGGGGATCCCTCAAATGGATCCTTTGTGAATCATGCAAATGATTCTTTGAAGTACGACCTGAGTGCTGATCATGCGGAGCCCAAATATCGGTTTCAAAACCGACATAGGAGGCAGGGTTCCTTTTTATCGATCTCCAAAAAGGATTACAAAATGATGGCTCAAGGAAAACCTATCCATTACTATGATGTGAGGTCAGGCTCTTACCTGGTTGTGAAGGCAGTGAAACACCCAAAAGAGAAAACTACAAGCAAAATTAGTGTAAGCCTGAAAGAAAGCAGGAGAGATCAAGAAGAGGTGCATGATGGGGTGTGTTCGAAGAAGGAGGATTACTGTTCGGAGGTAGGTTCAACCGTAACCTCAGGAATTGATAGCTCGAGTGAAGAAGAAGGAACTTTCTCCTCAACAAAAGACGATTTTTCCACCAATCCTATCACCTCAGCCACCAGTAGACTCAGAGTTCCTTCCACAACCGAGATCAGTACAAGGAGAAAGAGCCTGAAAACAGGAAGAAGAAGCAATACAATTCACTAGAAGGATAAGAGAAGAAGCAAGACAAGCAGACCGATGACAGCTATTCATAGGGAGACTCCCAACCCCCGGGTTTCCCTTGCTAATTTTGCTTATGTCTGCAGGTCCCAAGTTGGTAAGAAGAGGAAGTTCGTTAACCACCCTATGTTTGACTCCCCAAGCCACCCAAGAAAGAAATCTGCGTCTTTTAGTAGTTATTATTGTAATTCTATGTCCACGACGTCGAGTCATTTGTGTCTAACTCTGTGTTTCAATGTTGTTAATCGTCTAGTATCGAGTCCACTCCCACAAACTGGAAGTACATACCAGATGTAGTGGGGGTGTAAGGGTCTTTTATTAATAAGACTTGTTTCCCAGCTGTCAAAAAAAAAATGATAATGGTATCACATGGATGATGAAATGACTCCACATATAAATATTTAGATCAAATTTTAACCTTTATATGAGAACTTTAACTTTTATTACCAATGTTCTATCAATTGGACAATTATACCACATCTGTTTACCATAAATAAGATTTTTTTTTTCAATTGTATATGTTTTTTTATTTATTATTCAATTTACATTCATCATTTATAATTTTTCATTATCTTGGATCTCAAAGGTTTTATGCAATTCTTTATATCTTAACTAGCTTGTGGCTCCGGCGATGCCTCGGGTTGCTAGTTTATACTTCTTTAATTTGACCATTATGTTTGACTGTTTGTATAGTTAGTGTGTGGTTCAGGCGTTGTTGTAATTTTTTTAACCTTATATGTATTTATTTGGGTTTTCCTAAGCTATACACCGGTGTGCCCATGCTTTTCTAAAATTACAAGATATACCCTCTAACTTAAGTTGTTTATTCAGCCGTACCCTTTAACGTTAATCCCATGTTAGTAATTGTATTAACGGTTCATTACTTCACTTTGGAGAGAAATTTCACTGAGTTAGAGTTATATAAGTAGGTTAACATTTAACATTTTTTTTTCCAAATTTTCTCATCTGCTTTTTCTTCTTTCTTCTAAAAACAACCATTGATATGTCAAGCTCTCGGGGTATTTCTTATTCTTTTTTCTCATCCGCTTCTTATTACTTCCTATTTATTTACAATTCTAACGTCGAGTTTACGTTAGAGGGTGCGGTTGATTAAACAACTTAAGTTGGAGGGCACAACTTGTAATTTTGAAAAGACATGGGCACACCTTAGAAACTCAACCACCTTGAGGGCATAGCTTAGAAAAACCCTATTTATTTTCTAATCTTGTGAAAAATAAATAAAAATATAACATCTAATTTAATTAATATATTAAAGGAATATATATAATGTTAATTATGAAAAATCTATACTAATCTATTAAAAGACGTTCCTAAAATTGTCTATATGCCACGTGGACCCCCTCATTTCGCCATGTCACTTACTCAACTCCTTATTATGCCATGTCACCCACTCAACACCTCAATATACCACGTCATCCACGCAACCAACTACACTCCATGTTGTCTCAATTATGTTATACTACATGTTGTCTCAATTGATGAGAAGGTTTGAACATTTCACCTCTTAGAAGAAAGATAATTGTTTAAACATCTAAACTAATTGTCAATTATGCTTCAACCTTACACATAAATAATGTTGTACTATAAAGTATTGTAGACACATACTACATACAAACTATTTTCCTTCATATCAACCAAACATGATTTTAGCATTTCATACGAATATTAACTTCCCATGAATTATAAATTCCCATGTGTTTCTATTTACCAAATGCAACCAAACGAGGCCTAAACACTTTGTATTAAGCATTAATTTTAGAGAAATTATTTAGTTTTATAGTTATTGTTGTTCACTTTTTTTTTTTTTTTGGTAAATAAAGAATTTTATTACCAAAAGGAACAAAGTTACAACTTACAAAGAGCTAAGCAGTAACTAGCCACCAAACACCATAAGACCCACAATAGGCCAAACACCACCAAACCAGTTCCAAATTCCCACCTAGCTACCTTCTAGGAAGGGTTCTAGGCTGAACAAGGGACAACTACTGGACTTAAGAAACTGACCACCTTCTAGGAAGGGTTTCAGAAGCCAAGACCAGACAAAGAACCTAGGAAAACCAAAACAGAAACTACAAGCTAATAAGCTAAGCAGACTTACAAATAAACAGCAAACAAACCCAATTACAACAAAAGAAGATGTCAGTCTGCAACAGAACATCTACAAGCAACTCTAAACATAATATCCCTAAAAACAACATCCACAAGCATACAGGGACCTGTAAACATAGTGTTATTCCTCTAAATCCAAATGGCATAAACTGTTTCAGCAAGAAACAACATATGCAGTTTGCCAGCAACTCTGAACTTCCTACAGAATTTGATGCTCCAGTTAACTTCCAGACAGAAAGACTAAGGGTTAATACTTTTTGCCACATCAGTCTCGAGTAGGAGCATTTAAAAAACAAATGCTGAATGTTTTCAGCTGCATTCACACACAAGACACAAGTGAAATCACACTGGACATTCCAAAGTCATCACCCTATCCTTAGTAACAAGCCTGTTATGGAAAGCAATCCACAGAATGAACAAACTCCCTAGAGAAGCTGTGTTGTTGTAGACAAGCCTTTTCCAATTAGTTTTTGGAGCTTGGGGTCTCAGGAGGTTATACAGTTTCTTAATTTGTATTCCTCTTCCATGCTTCACCTTATCCCATCTCCCAATATTATTAATAATCTTCCTACATTTCAGGATCCTTTTCAGAACCCAAGAGCTTTTATGAGGAACAGGGGCTTCCCTAACATTCCTATTCTTGAAATAATATATGTGCACCCATTTCACCCATAAAGAGTTAACTTTATGAGCAATATCCCATAAGATCTTAGTGATAGCAGAAATGTTCCACTCAGGGAGAGAGATCACATTCCACTCACCACTAACTTTAGGCAGACAAACTATATTCTAGGAAACTAAGGCTTTCTTTGAGGGGTTAGACTTCCCAGTCCAAAGAAAATCCCTAAACCTAGCTTCAATCTCTTTTAAAAATTTCTTAGGCAACACAAAGATCTGATACCAGTAAGTCTGAACCCCAAAAAGAACACTCTTTAGCAATTGGAGCCTACCAGCATAAGATAGATGAGTAGCACTCTAGCCACTGATTCTTGCAGTAACCCTGTCCACTAAAGGCTTACACTGACCAATAGTAAGAATTTTTGAAGATAAGGGAACCCTAAGATACCTAAAAGGGATGGTACCCAGAGAAACCCCAAGAACTCATAGAAGAACAGTTTGATTATTAGCAAATACCCCACCAAAATAAGCCTCACTTTTTATCCAAGTTCGCAGACAAGCCTGAAGCCTCAGAAAACTTGGAGAAAGCCTGAAAAAGTAGCTATATAGAAAGTTTATCAGCTCTAGAGAACATGAGAAGATCATTTGCAAACATTAGATGAGTAAGCTGCATCTTTTAACACCTTGAGTGATAATTAAAATCAGGAATATCATTCAGCTCATGCAGACACCTTGACAAGTATTCCATTCCAATAGAAAAAAGGAAAGGAGACATGGGATCTCCTTGCCTAAGCCCTTTTTTTGCAGGGAAAGGAGGGGCACAAACTCCATTAATAAGAGTAGAGAAAGAGACTGTAGAAAGACAACTCATAATCCATGTAACAAAGGTGCCAAGAAACCCTAACTCTTCCATAACCCTTTTGAGGAAACTCCATTCAATATAATCATAAGCCTTTTAAAGATCCACTTTGACCATACACCTTGAGGTGGTAAACTTATTAGTATACCCCTTAATGAGCTCAGTGGCAAGCAATATATTATCATAGATATGTTTTCCAGGGATGAAGAATGCCTGAGCATCATCCACCACTTCCCCTATAATCTTATCCAGTCTAGCTCTTAGGATTTTAAAGACAATCTTGTAAAGAACAGAGCAACAAGCTATAGGCCTGAAATCTTTAGCATAGGAAGGATTTGACACCTTAGGCACCAGAGTGACTATAGTGCAATTCCAATCCTTAATCATCCCCTAGT